GTTCTTGCATCATAGTAGATCTCAGGTAAGTTTTAATCAGTTTGAGCTTAGAGAAGCTTCTTTCAGCAGCAGCCGCTGTAACAGGAAGAGTGGCAGAGATTCTCAAAGCAACCCACATGTTGGGGTAAATTTCTGCCAGTTTCTTCTCATGCAGGAAGGTCAACAGTTCCATGTTTGTCATATTGTTTGATGGCAATGGTGGGAAATTCTTCATTTCCTTTGCAAGTTCTGTGCCATCAATGTCCGGCTGGCTGTCATGGGTCAGAGCCGTACTTAGGGTTTGACACTTCTGTAGCAGGTCCTCTTCTTCTAAATTGGGGAAATCGAGGAGCACACCAAACGTGTTATTCACCTCTCCAAGATTCTGAAATCTCTCATCAAGTGAAGAGATTGCAGTATCCACGACCACATTAAAAAATGTGGTTTCCATTTTTCGTAGTGCATCTTGTATGGGCTCATCTGGAGACTCATAGCCAAAGTGCCTTTTTGTGGTTCTCAACCGCTTTTGTTTGAGTTCAGCCTCCACATTCATCTCTTCACACATCTTCTTTGCAATTGTCTGTGCATCAGAAAATCCAGTGTTTCTGTAACTGGTGAGGGAATCTCTGGTTTTCTTCAGCAAGTCGACAGCCACATCAAGCTGCATGGAGGGTGACTGCATCAGTTTACTGACATGCTGGATCTTGCTGAGAATGTCATACCATATGGCTGTACAAATGCAAAAGCGATAGGATCCAATCTCCTCAGCCAAAGACTGGGCTTCAACTCTCACCACAGGGTCTGCAGTTTTTTCCCTCACCTCCAGAAGAGCCTCTCTGACTTGCCCAGCCTGATACCTTACTGCCTCAATGCTTTTTATCCTGCTTTCCCATCTGGTCTCAGCCCATGATTTCAGAGTGATTTTCACATATTTCAAGAGGACATCCCACCTATGGGTGGAGGCTGAGAAGAGCTTGAATAACTTTGTCAAATGCCCAAAGTAGCCAAGGGCATCTGGTGAGCTTTTTGCAGCATCAGCTACTACCAGATTTAAAGTGTGGGCACCACATGGGACATAAAAAGCTCTTGAGTTCAGCTGAAGCAACTTTGCCTGAACACCTTTATTTTTTCCCTTCATATTGGCGCCGTTGTCATAGGACTGGCCTCTGCAGTCCTCAAATGGGATATTAAGTTCCTCTAGCCTTTTTAGGATTAGAGATGACAAATGTTCTCCTGTTGACTGCTCTGCCACAAGAAAGCCCAAGAAATGCTCTTTTACTTGAGGAATGTCTTCTTGTGACACTATCCTGACTGACAGAGAGCTGTTCCTTATGACTCAGATCAGGGGTGCAATCTAAAATGATGGAGAAATATTTGCACACGCAAGGTGCATCAGTGTCACCTTTGCAAGGCTGCACAACAACCACTGCGCCAGCAGATGTCACCCACATGCTCAGTGAATGAAGCTTCGAGTAGTGAACCAATTTTCAATACAAAGGTCCAAAAGGGTTCGAAACTTCATGGGGCCTGATATGGTCATCACTACAGAATGCAAAACAACTAGTGACATGAGAAAAACACAGACGAGAGAAACAAAGTGGTGCGGGTTGTCGGCATGAAAGCAACGACGAACTGGCAAGGGAAAGGTATGTGAGCTGGGCTTAAGTAGGGTGAAGGACTAAGTGAATGCAGCTGGTGATGATTAAGAAATGTGTGGCAGGTGTGCACTGTGGCGTAATCAGGAACCGAAAACAAAGAGAGGGAGGTGAGAGAGGCAGGTGCACCCGAGCAAACCTGACCCAATTTGATATTTTCCAGACGTGTTCTATTCATCTCCACAGACTGGGATTTATCAGCCCGCCCCCTCCATTCTGTTCCTTCTTCCAAATCCTGTACAAGGCAATTGTGATTGTAAGGCTGCGATAACTTCTAGCAAATGGATTAGGGATGCGATCATTAAGGAAGTGTATGCAGGAGTCTTGCCTGTGGTGTTTCTCAGGGAATCAGGCCAGTGCTGTCTCTGCTGAATGCCCAGGCTAACAGCTCAGAGATCTGTTGTAAAAGTAAATGGTGCAGCGGTGTAGAGTCTGAAATCCCACTAATAGCTAACATAAGGCTCCAGCTGAAATACTGCAAGTTTATAAGCACATGATTTTTTTCTGGGTGTAGAGCAACACTGATAGAGTCATACATCTAATGAGTAGCTTTAATGTGTATATAATCAGGTGGTAGTCAGACTCTATACACCCTGTAGACATGACCGCTTCTGCTGCCATTATTTTGTAACACAGTTATACTTACATTCACTCTCTTATCTGGTATTGGTGTGCGGTTGTTCTCCTGTGATGTTATTATTTATGTTCGGGATGTTGTTCTCACTGGCTTTTCATTGTCTCCTAATTTAAAAATTCTTAAAATTTCAACATTGAATTTCATATAGGCAGAAAACTGCTGTTGCCCTGCTCTGGACTCTGGACTGTTGAAGTTCACACTGTATGTTTCACCCCTGGTCCCTCCCCAGATAAGTCATGTCAGTATATGCCTATGGCTACACATAAAAACTGCTTGGAAATCCCAACCAAAGCAGAATTTTCACCTACTGTATGTGTGATTCAGTTCTGACTTAATTTTAAAAGACTGTGCTCTATTTGTGCTGGAAACACACATTTCTTTATAGTCAACATACTAAACTCTCAAAAGTTACTGGAAATCATTCATTAAAGGAAAATTCCATTTTTATAGAACTTGAGTCTTGTCTTGGCTATTATTAAGTTGATTCACTAGAATGACTGGAGATATTAAACATGGAGGCATCGGTACAACAGATGGGTGGGGTGGCCAACCACTTTTTGGAGGTAAAACTGCAGATGAGTATATTTAAAATACACGAGATAATCTCTCATTGCACTGAAGAAATGTGTATGCATTATAGTATTACAGTAGGTAGGATTCTTAGTTAGTTCTTCTTCTTAGTTTAAATAACAATGTCTGTGGAACATTGAGGTTTGCTATAAACATGTCTGATGGTCTTACTGATTTATTTGCCCAGTCTCATGACCTTGTCGAGATGCTGCTCTGTTTCAAGACCACACCAGTCACTGTGTACAAGTGGTACTCAAACCAGAACCCTTGAAGTCTAGAAAGGCCTCAGGTACTTTTAACCACCAGCAGGTGCAGATGATAGATGGGCTGGTCATCCTGTGTCAGCTCCTCCAGCCCCACCCTGGCACACATTCCCTGGGCATCCCGGTAGTAACCGTGAACATAGTAAACTTTGGCTATCAGCAGCAGAGCCTCATTCAAGTACCTGGTCTGGAGGACAAGTTGGGACAAATTGTTGTCAGGATTGGCGTGTGATGCTGCCAAATAGTGTTTATGGTGAACTCAATTATAAGACCAGACGAACTGGGGTAGAGGAAGATACTTTTACTGACATAAAACAAAACAAACATGCAATGCCCAGAATCTATATTGGGTCGTTAAGACAGTCCAAGGTCAGCGCCGGTAATCACATACAGCCAGGGGATCCAAACTCAGGAAGTCAGATTGGAGATAGCAGAAAGTCGGTACACTTGTAGGCAATCAGGATCTGGGAGGAAATAGGCAAAACATGGTGGTCAGAACAACAATCCAAGGTCAAAACAAGAGGGTCAGGCAAGAATTACAGGCTGGAGAATCAGAGCTGGAGTCTAGAACAATCTGGCAGCGTTCTAGTGAGGGAATGCTGCCTATAAGCTGCTGGACACCGGTGTGAGATCTATATCGGGTTGTTAAGACAGTCCAAGGTCAGCGCCGGTAATCACATACAGCCAGGGGACACAAACTCAGGAAGTCAGATAGGAGATAGCAGAAAGTCAGTACACTTGTAGGCAATCAGGATCTGGGAGGGAATAGGCAAAACACGGTGGTCAGAACAACAATCCAAGGTCAAAAACACAACAGAACCCCATTCAGGCAGACCCCCCAGGCTGGCCAGGATGGCCCAGATGAAAATCCCGGATGAGGGATGGGTCCATAATGGGGCAGGAAGGGACCCAGGACCATTCCTCAGGCCCATAACCCTCCCAGTCCACCAGGTACTGGATTCCCTGGCCGCATATCAGGGATCGGAGGAGACGCCTGACTGTGTGGACAGGACCCCCGTCAATGAAGCAAGAAGGAGGAGGAGGCACAGAAGGAGAGGCCAGAGGACTGGACTGAACGGGCCTGACCCACGACACGTGAAAGGTGGGATGCACCCGAAGGGAGTGGGGCAAACGAAGTCGGACAGCAGCAGGGTTGACGACCTTGGTTATGGGGAAAGGACCCACAAACTGTGGTGCCAGCTTGTGACATTCCGTTGTTAGGTATTTTTAGTCAGATAGATATTGGATAGATACTTTATTAGAAATGTTAGTGGAGATAGGATGTCTAGTTAGACTGTTAAATGCTTAGGCCTGCTTATGAGTTTCTGCAGGGTACTTCTGGTCAAGGATACCAGAGAGAAGAGTTGATGACTGTCAGCAGGGTGTTTAATATCATTATTACAACGTGTATAACTGTAGCCTTAGCCATAATGTTCCTATGTTCAAGTCACGACATGTACTAGAGGTCGTGAGAATGTTTTTAGTTACACACACTCAACCAACAGACATACACATTCACACGCTGATTTGCTTCATGTTTTGACTATTGCTAGAGCCAGCTGCAAAGCTGGTAACAGAGACGTCCCGGTTGACGTTTCTGTGTAGTATGGGGCTAGCCCAACCGAGGTGATAAAATGTATAGGCCTGGTGGGCTCAGGGGTTTTTCATCTTACATCTGCCTGCGTGCAGTATGGAGGTGCAAGACACCTGAGCGTGTAATGTTAATTTTACCTGTGATCCTTTGAATAAATCAGCACTGTTTTGAAGTTACTTGGACTGCCTCGTCTCTCAGGGTTAGCATGGTAAGACAAACCCTACCCTACACCGTCCAGAGTGGAGGGTCACGGGCAGACAGCCAGACCTTCTGGCTGGGTAGATAAGTGGGACTCTGGGACCGATGGACGTTGGCCCACTTCTCATAGGACTGGACGGAGCGGAGCAAGACCAGGCGGGCCCGCCTCCAGGCCCGGTGACACCGGCGAACCAAGGCCGAGGCCAGTGGCACTTGGATCTCTGTGTCCAGACTGGGGAATAAGGGTAGAGGAAGATACTTTTACTGACGTAAAACAAAACAAACATGCAATGTCCAGAATCTATATTGGGCCATTAAGACAGTCCAAGGTCAGCGCCGGTAATCACATACAGTCAGGGGATCCAAACTCAGGAAGTCAGATAGGAGATAGCAGAAAGTCGGTACACTTGTAGGCAATCAGGATCTGGGAGGGAATAGGCAAAACACGGTGGTCAGAACAACAATCCAAGGTCAAAACGAGAGGGTCAGGCAAGAATTACAGGCTGGAGAGTCAGAGCTGGAGTCTAGAACAATCTTGCAGCATTCTAGTGAGGGAACACTGCCTATAAACTGTTGGACAAAAGGTGTGAGTAATCAGAAGCAGGTAAACACAGATTAAACTAAAGAGTCTGTAACTGAGGTGCGACTGAAAAGGAAACGGATACAAAATAAAAGCACACGACAGGAAGCAGACGGGGCAGGATCGTGACAATTGTTGACAGTAACTAAAAGCAATGCATATGTGAATCAAGATCTGTGCTCTGTGCCCCAGTGCTTTCAGTGCTTCCTTTATAAATAAACTAATCTGGATAGAGGCAGGGAGGAATTTACAGTAGTAGCACAGCCAAAGGAACATAGGTTAAACTGACTGTTAGACAGTCTCGGCTCAGGATAGTGGTGAGGTAACCTTTCCCCTGCACAATCTGGGCTGAAGGAGAAATTACAGTAGTTCTAAACTCAGCTGACTATCAGACCAGAGCTTCCAACCTCCTCAGTGACACCACCACATATGAAGCACTGAAGAGGGACCCCACCAGTGGCTACAAGAAGAAAGTTATAGACTGTTTACAGAAGCTGGAAAAGGAGGGAGTTATTGACCGGCGACTATACTACAGACTATACCCTGGGGAGGCCAGCCCTTGCATTTATGGCCTACCCAAAATACACAAGGAAGGAGCCCCACTCAGACCCATTGTCAGCAGCATCAACTATGTAACTTACAACATAGCAAAGCACGTGGCCACCATTCTGGCTCCTTTGATGGGAAACACACAGCACCACATAATAAACTCCCAGGACTTCGCAAGGAAAGTCCAACAACTGCAGCTGAACCAGGACGGGACCATGGTCTCATATGATGGCACATCCTTGTTTACTTGCATCCCCACCACAGAGGCTGTCAGGGCGGTGAAGAAGAGACTCGTCATTTTCACTGCATCTTCCTCTCCCTCATCTTTTCCGTTAACACTGGATCAAGTAGGGATTAAGATACAGCAATGCAAAGAAAGCTGTACTGTAATGCAAAAAAGTATGCAAGTCAGCTGAGGCAGGATATATATACTATATAGTGCTGCTTTCTTGTTTTATTTGTGTTTGTTTCAAAAATGCCCTAACTGAAACTTTAAATAATCAATTTGTAATGCCTTGTCTTTTTCCCTTGGGCTCAGTAACATTGGCAGACTGACGGTGGTTAACCTAATCTACCAGCAATTGCAGTGTGTACTGTAATTGAACTCTATCAATCACAAAACGTTACAAACCAATGGATGCAGTAGGTTGAAAAATCTAAATCTATCATCAGTTCACACTAACTGTGCCCTTACATAAGGAAAACTGTTAACGTGGTGAGGGGACAAGGTAAAATGTGGCATAAACCCACCAGCAGTTGAACAATTCAGAATTTGTCCTATCAACCACAGCACAGGTTGCAAATACAGGGGGAGACAGAGTTCATTGCCCACTGGGTAGAACTTTATTGACCCCACAGTGGGGAAATTCCAGTGATGGTCTCAATCAGCTACTTTTTGACATCGAATAAAATCTCAAGCCGCCTGAACAGAGATTTAGCAGCGTCATTTTCTCTCTGGAAACTTGACATTTGCTCGACATAAATAGACCCTTCCACTCCTCAGTAATCACCTGCCCCACGACCTACTCCTTTGCAAGGCAGATTTGACAGCCGAACGCCTACTTCCTTCCACTTGCTGACGTAATGAAATACTCTTTGTCTCTGTCAGGATAGATAACCTCGTAAACGATCGCTGCTCTCTGAAAAGTGCCCTAGGCTAAGATTAGTGCTCAAAAATTACAACGTGAGAATGTGAATATATAGTGAAATCGATTAGTTTGTGTCAGTAATAGCTAATTTACTCAAGACTTCACAACTAAATACAGTTTAACGCAGCTTACGGGCACTTCACAAAATTCGAGAATGTGCGTTTTGTTACTTAGTTAATTATAGATTTCAGCGTAGTAAAGCTGTATCATTACCTTATTATAACCTTATACATTATGTTGAGCCATCTACATGGTACAGTGTAATCCGCCTGTGGATGTTTCCACGACGCCTTTTCTGTCTAGCGAGATTTTAGTGAGTACGGATGTTAGTTCAGCGATTTCTCTCGCTTCGATTAGATACTCTCTAATCATTTAACCAATCATAAAGAGCTGACGTGTCCAAGCGGGGCTACGGCAAGCCACTTGGTGTTGTAAAGCTGTGACTTAATCGTTGGTGCCAGCCAAGTGAAAATAGAACGTAATTGTTCAGAAATTTCTTTAACGTTAGTAGGTATTGCTACAACCACACTTTTTTAAAATAATTATATAATAGTAAGTCTTGAAATAGTTTACGCATTGAACAGGACTTGTAATTTCAGTGTGAGTTAGTATTGAATTGAAGCGTCATGGTAGCAAATCTTACAGATTTGTAGCTAACTAACTAGTTAACGTTAACGCATGTGCTCGTTAATAACTGGTTTTACCTAGCTTACTAATATTAATGCATGGAGCTCAACCGGATATTTTAACAGAAACAAAATGCTTGTAGCTCGTAGACGTGTTTGTCAGTGGTCGTTTTGCGATTTATTTTAGTCAATGTTTACATACGACTTTAAACATATGATACGCAAGTGATATACAGCCGTGTTTGTATCGCATGTTTTCTTCTTTGTTAGCAACATTGTATGGTTGCCCAATTTAGCCAGCAAAAATTATTCCTAAAATTCTTGTAGCGCTACCAAGATCTTAATAGTGCAAACAAAAAAAAAAAAAATGCTTTAACTAAAGATCTAAAAATTGAGGATTATTTGGTTATTACCGGATATATAAATAAAAGGTGTGAGAGAACGAATCGTTATTAGAATAATTAGAAACGTATAAACCTAGTGTATCTTCAGGATATGTGGTGATCGTTTTTAAAGCTGATTGAACTCTGCCTGTGTGCCTAGCAGAATGAGTAGTGGCAGGTGTAGTGTGATCTGGAGGGCTCTGCTCCTCCTGCTGTCCTCTTTGCTGTGTGTTCGCTCTCAGGTGGACCCACAGCAGCAGCCGCCGGCTGTAGAGAGCACAGATCAGCTATCGGGCCACAGTCGCCTGGACAGAAACATGTTTCAGGACAAAGAGTGAGTGACATCCCTTCATTTAAAGGACTTATTTGCACATACCAGTGAACTTTGAACACAGTCAGCAGCATTGATCAAACATATCTATTATATGCAAATATATATATCAGAAGCTGTGGTTTTTGGCTTCTTTGTCTTCCAGTCACATCTTGGAGCATTTGGAAGGAGTGATAGACAAACCAGAGAAAGACATGACACCCCAGGAGCTCCAGCTGCACTATTTCAAGATGCACGACTATGATGGAAACGATCTCCTAGATGGGCTGGAACTAGCCACAGCGATCACACATGTACACAGAGAGGTGGGTGCCTGTGGTTTGTGTACATAATATAATTCCTGCTTATCTCAGTTACCTATTGCCTTTTGTTGCCTTCTACTTAAAGAGGGATTGCAGAGCATGTGTGTGTGTACTAGCTTTAATGCACTTTGCTTTTGACACCAATGTTTTCATATTCTTATGGTGTTCTATAACAACATAATTGCCTGTTATACAATGGATAAATAGTCAGTGGTTACTTTATTGTAAGTGTTAATCTTGTTCCATTTGTGTGGAATTTCTAACTTAGAGCCTCTAAATGTCAACAAAAGGTAACAGTGTGAAAAAAAAAAAAAACTGCAATACCCAGAAATCATATAACAGACTGTAACACCAGCCCAGCCTGTTTTCGCTTTGGCAGTGTAATACAATTTTATATATATATAAATTCCCCACTCGCCACCCACTTTGCGGTGGTCCTGTATTCCTTCCTTCAAGCTCGGGTCCTCTACCAGAGGCTTGGGAGCTTGAGGGTCCTGCGCAGTATCTTAGCTGTTCCTAGGACTGCACT